GGCCCAAAAGTCCAGATTCCTTTACACGCAATACTTGAGAGCTGAACCAAGGCAGGCAAGCATCACTGCATCAGACATGGAACCTCTCTATTTTTTATTGTCTTTTTCTCTTCATTTTTTAATCATAATTATTGATATCACTGCATTAAATAATTTTTAATTATAAATTTAATGAATAGTTATAATTAGGGAAGTGAAGGAAAAAAGATGATGAAAAAAATGGAGAAGTTCCAAGTTCGCCAAGCAGCATGGTGTGATTGCTAAAGATAGCCACATAAGCTTTTTGAAGTTTAAACTTCATACCTCAATTTCAAAATTTTAATTAATAACATTTTATGTGATTTATATTAAGGATCAATGAATTGTTCTTAAAAAAGTCATATATATAATAATGACAAAAGGAGTGTACGCACACATATGAGAGACCGGGGGAATAATTTCTGAGAACAAAAATGATATGTTTCATATTTATAATAAAAAATAAAAAAACTTATGAATAAAAAATTATAGATATTTAATCAACATCATTAGTGAACAATAAAAAAATTATTGCAATTAGCAAACATGTCCTAATATGATGGTCAAAATTTAATCTATGTAACCTTTTATGTTCTGGAATTGGCTTCTCTCATCCTACTTTCCTCCTATCTTTTCTAGTTTCTAACATTGGATCTCACAAATACTGTCTGTTTTTTTTTTTTTTTTTGCCCTTTTGAAGTCCTAAGCGAAACTTGCACTTGATATCACTTAGCTTGTTAGGAAGTGACAATGTTGTTCTAACAATATACCTGACTCCAATATTACTTGTCAGCAATCCATAAATGAGTCCACAAGTTTCTCATATTGAAAACACTACAAATACCAAAGTCTCACAAACTGATTTTTTTTTAATAAATATAATTTTTAGTTCATATATTTTATTCGTATTTTATTTTTAATTTTTATACTTTTTTTTAATGTTTTAGATCTTTATACTTTTATTTTTTATTATTTTAAGTCCTTATAAGGTTTTTATACTTTGTTTATAAAGGGATAAAAGATAATAAAAAATAAAAATATAAAAACCTAAAATACTAGAAAAAATATAAAGATAAAAAATAAAATGCGAGTAAAATATAAATATAAAAAATTATATCTACAGTGTTTTCCCATGAAAGTACTTGGTGAAACTGACCTGGCCTTGATATCACTTCTCAGAAATGGTCTTGGGAACGACCCATCTGAAAAGGAGGAATGGAGGACACTAACTCAACCATATTACTTAATCTAGTGTGAGTTCATAAGTTCTTCTTTTGATAATTGCAAATCATAGAATAAGAATTGCAAACTTTCAGATCAATAAAATTTACTTGAACCTTTGATCATTATTTCAGATTTTTAAAATTTTTAATTCTTATTTAAGTTTAATTTGATATTTCAATTATTTAATGCCATTTCCCCTGATTTGTAAGTTTTTATTTTTATTTTTGTAGGTGTCTTTCACGCCATGAGATTATTCTTGACTATGAACCATTGTAATTCAACTGAGTTAAATTTTTCTCGTCAAATTAAAAGCTATAGCAATGTTTATATATATTAATTATAACATGTTTGCCTTGGTTCCTTGAGAAATTAAAGGAAACTAAAAGAAGACACAGAATCTCTTTCACACGGGGAAAGCAAAGCAAAACCCTATGTATGAACATTTGGCCCCCAAAAAAAAAAAGGAGAAGAATAAGAAAAAGGCCAATATGTGCGAACGCCTCAAGGGAAAACCTTATGGATCAAACAGGGAAAAAGAAAAATAAAATAAAATAAAAAGTCAGCTAAGACGTGTCACTATGTCAACACCTTGCTTCCATAATATTTTTTTTTAAATGTAAGACATTTTTAATTAAATCTTATCCTTCAATAAAGTAATTATTTATCTTTAAACTAACCATATTTTTTCATATTTATCTTTATTTAATAAAGTGTTTCACCATAAAAAAATATAAAGTAATTTATTCGATAAGGCTATTTAAAAAAAGTTAATGATTACATTTTAAAAGATTTAAAATATTTTACATTTTTAAACATTCAATTCTTAAAAAATATATTATATTTTTGAACGAAGGAATAGCTTTTTACATTTTCAGTACGTTAATTATAAACTCTTGGTGGGATGATCCAGCATTTTCATTCTCTGGACCAACGTTTCATTTGGAATAAATTAGAGCCGGTAATTTGGGCCAAGCCCGACGGGCTAGCCCGAATTGGCTCAAAAAATTTTAGAGCCGAGCTTAAAAAAAGATTTTTTTTATGTTCGGGCCAAGCCCGATTGGGTTCGGGCTTGGCCCGAATACCCGAATAAAAAAATTATATTTTTAAAAATATATAAAATATAATAAATATTAATTAATTTTTTAAGTTTTAGATTATTTTATATTAAAATACCATATATTTGAGTCCTAGACATCATTTAAGTATTTAAAAAATATTTTTTATATTTTTTATAAAATAAAATAATTAATTTTAAAGTAAAAAAATAATTAAAAATAATTTTAAAAATTAAATTTGAGTATTTGAGCCACCCGAAACAGGAAGGAAATTCAGGCCGGGCTTGATTATTCGGCCTTTTCAAATGCCCGGCTTTAGAATAAATAGTTGTTCTCGTGATAACGATTTTTTATGAACTATTTTGATACAATTTAATTTTTTTAGATACAAGAGTAAATCCTTCTAAGCTAAATTGCTACACACATATATAAAAGTTGAGATTTAAATTCCCAATTATTTGCTCAAAGAATAAGAATTGCTATTACTCACACCAGCTTGAACTACTTATTTTGATATAATTTTGTGCTAAAATAACTCTTTAAAGCAACACCACTTGAAAAAAAAAATATACTCCCTTCATCCCAAATTATAAGAAATTTTTAGAGAAGATTTAACGTCCCAAAATATAAGATATTTTAATAAAAATAAAATTTTATTAATAATACTTTTTCAATATTATCATTCCTCTACATTCTCTCTCTTCAATATTGTTTCATTAATGAAATATTAAATAAAAAATATTTTTAAAAGTTTATATTTTTGTCTTAAAAATGTAAGGTTATAAAGTATATTTAATAAATTTTATTAGTATATGATATTTTATTTAAAAGTATCTTATTATTTGGGAGGGAGGTAGTAGTTCATAACTTATATCTTTAACTTTGTATAAAGTTTTTGTTTGATTCCTTAATTTTATGAAGTTTATTTTCTATCTTCTAACCCTAATATTATTAGCCACAAATGATTATTTTTTATGCAAATTATTATTATTTTTAAAAAAATTAGTTTTAATAAGTTAATATTTAAAAATATTTTATTGATATTTAAAATTTTGATATCGATATTTTTTATTAATGAAACTAATTAATAACGTTAGAGTTAAAGAATTGAAAAGAAATTTTCTAAATTAAAAATTTAAATGAAACCTTATATAAATTAAAGAATCAAATATGCACTTTTGTCTTCATAACTTTAATTCAAGACTTTTTTTTAATTCTTTCAAAATAATTTTAAAATTTTCTTGAAGATATAATTAAATCATACTCCCTTTATTAAAAATATATTGCATTTTTTGAAAGATTAAATATTCAATAATGTAAGATATTTTTAATTTTTTAAAGTGTAATTATTGCATTTTTTCTTAAACGTATCTCTATTGAATAAATTAAATTAATTTATATTTATTTTAAAATAAAATATCCTATTAAGTAGGAATAAATATGAAAAGATAGAATTAATTTAAAAATAAATAATTATTTTATTATGAGTGAGATTTAATTAAAAATATTTTATATTTTTTGACAAGGGAGTATAACACATCAGATTTTGTTTTGGTAGGTGTCTTTTACGCCATGAGATTTGTCTTGACTGACAAACCATTTGAAATTGAACAACTCAGTTAATTTTCTCTTTCCAAAAAGGTATAGCAACATATATAATTATAACTTGTTTGCTACAACAATTAATTAATTCCAGCAAGATGGCTTTTTTGAGTTGGATTTAAAATATTTAAATATATATATATATATATAGCCAAGCTAGCGCTAATACCTCGAGATTCCAGCCCAAATACCAGATTGTTAAATATTAATTTATTTATTTTCATGAAGTTCAATTTTTATCTTATAATATTAATATTTTTCAAGCAACATAATACTACATACAACACGCTTTTTTTCTATCTTTATTAAAGTGAGATTAATTTTTTGGCCCCCCTAAAAAAAAATAAGATGAGACTAAGCATTGAAAGGGTAAAAATCAAAACATATAAAATAATTTCTTGTATTTATTTTTTCTTAATATTTTTAAAAATATTCCAAACAACCATTTATTAGAATATTAAAATTTCATTTAGGAGCATGAAATGTTCAAAGTAAAAATTTAGGAGAAAGACTATTTGGGCTAAATATATTCAAGCTCGAGCTTATTCATGTTGCCGGAATAAATCCAAAATAATAATAAAAAAAAAACTCTCAAGTCCAACCCTAATATTAAGGTGGTCTGTCGAATTTCACGGAATTTTCGACTCTTTCGTTTGCTTTGGTGCTTGAAAATGTTTTTTTTAAGAGACACAGAAGCTCTTTCACACAGGGAAATTAAATGGATGCGTGAGATTTAAAATATAATATAGTAAATATTAAAGGAAAAAGATATTAAATAGCAAGTCTTTTTCACAAATTCAACAGAGTTATATTAAAAATGTATTAAATACTCCTTAAATTTTATAATTTGTTTTAAAGAATAATAAACCACTTTGCAAAATTTCGTTCAAATAAATAATAATATATCGATTTCTACGTAAAAGAAATAGAAATGCACTCTATATATATTACATATCTTACGCGGCTGATGGTACTGTTGCCAGAACGGCTCAAAAACTAACCACGTGAAGCATTTAAAAGCAAGCCCACCAAATAAAGTTCACGATAATAAAATCTATGGATCAAATCTCAATTTCCGTGGACGAAATGAATAATCATTGGAAGACCGAACCGCCAAGGTCTATTAAAATGAATAATCATTTTAATCCTTCTTGAACTTATGCTTCTTAGATAGCTGATATGCCTATTTCATCAATCCTATACGTTTTTCTCCTCTTCTCTCTGTCGTTTCAATGCTCTTCATCATTATCATCCCTGAGCAATGGCTTCTCCCTCTCGGTGGAGAAACCAGAAGATGTTATTATCTCCCAAAATGGCATCTTCTCTGCCGGCTTCTATGCCATCGTCAACAGTACAAACGCCTATGTTTTTGCCATCTGGTTCACCCAAAAACGCACCGTCGTTTGGATGGCAAACCGTGACCAACCCGTCAGCGGAAACCGGTCATCACTTTCCCTCCTCAAAGCCGGAAACCTTGTCCTCTCTGATGCTGGACAGTTTAACGTGTGGTCCACCGACACTGCCTCGTCGTTGCCTTTGCCAACACGACTGAATCTTACCGACAATGGAAATCTAGTACTTTACGAGCTCCAGCCTCAAGGAAGAAGAAATATTCTGTGGCAGAGCTTCCGTTACCCGACCGACACCCTGCTTCCCGGACAACAGCTCACAAGATATACAAAGCTTGTCTCTGCAAGAAGTGAGACCAACCAATCTTCTGGATTCTACAAGCTTGTCTTCAATGATGAAAACATTCTCAGCCTTTTGTACGACGGCCCCGATGTCTCCAGCAGATACTGGCCTTCCCCATGGCTTGTGAGCTGGGAAGCTGGAAGGAGCACCTACAATAGTAGTAGAATCGCAGAGTTAGATTCACTTGGAGGTTTCACTTCAACAGACAAGTATGACTTCAGAACTTCAGATTATGGGGTGGCGATACAAAGGAGATTGAAAATAGATTCTGATGGCAACGTTCGAGTTTACAGCCTACAGAATAATCACTGGCAGGTGACGTGGCAAGCCATATCTGATCCTTGTATTGTACATGGACTTTGTGGTGCTAACAGCACATGCAAGTATGATCCGAGACAGGGAAGGAAGTGCTCGTGTCTTCCGGGATATAGAGTGAAGAACCTTAGCGATTGGTCTTATGGGTGTGAACCTAAATTTCAAGTCTCATGCAGTAAAAACGAGTCTACCTTCTTAAAATTGTTCAATGTTGAGCTATATGGGTATGACTTTAATTTTGTGAGCAACATCACTTTAAGTGGCTGTAAGGATGAATGCTTAAAAGATTGTGAGTGCAAGGCGGTTCAGTACACATTTGACCTGCAGGAAGGCACATTTAAATGCTATACGAAGATAATGCTGCTCAATGGTCACCATTCACCGAGCTTCAGAGGAAACTTGTACTTAAGAGTACCAAAAACCCGAAGAACCAATGCTTCTTTCCTTGAAGAAGAAGAATTTGTCCAAGGACATGGTCATGTTTGCTCGGTGGAGCTTGAAAGAGCGTATACCAAGAGACACGTAAGCAGTTTTGTAAAGTTTTTTCTTTGGTTTTCCGTGGCAATTGGGGTGTTCGAATTCCTCTTCGTTTTCGTAAGTTGGTGTTCTTTGATCAGAACCAAACACAATTCTGGTGGAAATCAACAAGGGTACAATTTTCTCTCTCCTCTTGGGTTCAAAAGATTTACTTACTCCGAACTGAAACAAGCAACGAAAGGGTTCACAGAAGAAATTGGAAGAGGCTCAAGTGGAATAGTGTACAAAGGAGTATTGCCAGATCAGCGAATCGCAGCAATAAAGAAGCTGAATAATAACATCATAGGAGCCACACAAGAAGAAGGAGAATTCCTGGCCGAAGTGAGCATAATCGGTAGGCTTAACCACATGAACTTGATCGAAATGTGGGGCTATTGTGCTGAGGGAAAGCATAGGCTTTTAGTGTATCAATTCATGGAAAACAGTTCTTTAGCTGAAAAGCTTAAGTCAAATGTTTTGGATTGGACCAGGAGATACAACATCGCTCTTGGAATAGCAAGGGTCTTAGCATACTTACACGAAGAATGCTTGGAGTGGATTCTTCACTGTGACATAAAGCCACATAATATTCTTCTGGATTCAAATTACCAACCCAGGGTGGCAGATTTTGGCTTATCTAAGCTTCTAAATCGAAGTGACCGAAACACTCAAAGCTTCTCCATGATAAGAGGAACAAGAGGATATATGGCTCCTGAGTGGGTTTTCAATCTGCCAATAACATCAAAAGTTGATGTTTACAGTTATGGGATTGTTGTGTTGGAGATGATAACTGGAAGAAGCCCAACGATGATGGGAATTCAGAGTGATAAAGGAGAAGACGCACACAACGGGAGGCTTGTGACGTGGGTGAGAGAGAAGAGGAAGAAAACGACGTCGCGGGGCTGGGTGGAGCAGATAATCGATCCTGCCATTATTTCAGAGTATGGGGTTGAAAAGCGAAAGATGGAGATTTTGGCAGAAGTAGCATTGGAGTGTGTGGAAGATGACAGGGATGCAAGGCCCACCATGAGCCAAGTTGTTGATATGCTGCAGAGCCACGAAGACGATGCTTCTTAGTCGTTACTTGAAATCTCTTCACTGACATTGCATCATTGTGAACAGTAATTTAAAAATCGGATTGAATCGGACTATTAGACTATCAATCTATTTGGATTTCAGTTCGGTTAACGTGAAAAAATTATTTAGGAGGTTAGCCGCTTTAAACCAGCATTGAGATTGGAAACCAATTCAGTTTTTAAAAATCGGATGGTTCAAAAATACTATTTTTTTGTTTTTTATCAATTTTTTTTAAAAATAACTAATATTTTTAATCATTTGATATTTTGTTATATCATGTCGCTTGTTAAATCATGATAAATTTAAAAATTTTATTTTATTTTTAAGTTAAGTAATAATTTTATATTTATTTCTTATATTTAATTATTATATATATATATTTAATTTAATTATTATATCATCAATTTGATCGTTGGTCTAACCTGATTGGATCATGTGAATTGTGAACCATTAATATTCACAGTTTAATATTGATCCAATTCTTAAAACATTAATTGTACTATGATAACTAATTAAGTATTTATTCTTGTTTTATTTAAAATTTTTTTTCATATCATTAATATCAATACAATAAAAATATAAAAAATAAAAGTAAATAAAATTTTAAATATAACTCTTAAATAAAAAATAAAAAATAAATAAATTATATAATATTATTCTCTCTGTAGATCTCTCTCTCACTTTGAATAGCAAACTATACAATGACAGGAGATGAAAAAGTGAAATGAAAGGGAACTTTTAACACCAGGCGAGGGATGAAAAGGTAAAAGTTATAGCCCTTCAAAAGAGAGGCACGTTGCACGCATAGAAAGAGTAAAACAAAAAGGGACCACAAGTGGGTCTATTCACTATGAAAAAATGATGCTTTTTTTTTATTTAAATACTCTAGCCACGTGGGATAGTGGGGACAATGTGAAATGGCAGATGGAGTTGCAACAATATTTCTTGAACTTAAATGTTCTTCTCACGCGTGACAACCTGTGCCTGAGCAGTAAGGAAAGCAAAGGTCAACATATTGCAGTGAATGAATAAAGAAACTATAAGGACGTACACACAATGAATGAATAAAAAACTATAAGCACTGTATACTCTCTATTTAAAAATATAAAATATTTTTAATTAAATTTTATTTTTTAATAAAATAATTATTTATTTTTAAACTAACTCTATTTTTTTATATTTACTTCTATCAAATACTCTATAATAAATATAAAATTATTATTATTCGAGGTATTTTTTAAAAAAGACAATGATTACACTTTAACAAACTAAAAATGCCTTATATTTTTAAATATTTAACTCTTTAAAAAATATTTTATATTTTTAAACAGAAGATGTTTATATTTTATTTTTATGTAGTCATACTTCTTCCCCAAGTGTTTTGATAGCAACAACAGTGCCTCGCCATAATGCAACACGGAAAGTTCCCTAAATTTTTTATCCAATACAAAAATGTGGGGGACACAAACAGAATCAGTGATGCTAAATTAGAAGGATAAACCAAACATAAACTCTATAAAGGCGACACAGAAATGTACACCTTTGTTAAAATCAATTAGGAGGGTTAATCTCATATGTTGAGAACCTACGAATTTTTTTTTTTGAAGTCATATGATCCGCAAAATTTAGATCATCTTTTTTTTTTTTTTCAGGCTTAACCTCTTCTGGTAATGCCATAATGGGGCTGATGGCCCTGCCCTTGAGTAAAAGTCTGCCAGCGCTCTGATTGATTTCTCAAGCTCAGCATATGATTCCTGCATGTAACCCAGGTGAAGAACAATCATATACTTGTGGCAAAATGCAAGCGCACGCGTAATAGTTAGAGCATTTAATTTTCAATACATGTCCATCAAGAAAATTTCTTACCAATCCTGTGAGTACAAAAGGTTAAGTAAACTAAGCTAATTATAAACATGTAAGTGTTTAATACTTTAAGTATATCTTTGTCTCACTCTAAAATTTAGGCATGACTGGTATGTGATATATGCACAACCACACATCCCTAAATCTCGTTCAAGAAAAACTCTAATTTAATATTTTTAATACATATAAAAAAAGATTGAAAATCATTGCAACATTCTCATATAAACAAAAAGATTTCCTAAACTTTCTGATAAAATTTTGGTAGAACCTCTTCTATGATAAAACCTTCTAAAATCTCTACACATTATTACAGAATTCTAGATATAAGATGTCAAGAAAAATGATAGTTAAAAAAAAATACGTTACATAATGGTGAAGTGGGTGATTGTTAAACAATAAATGATGGTATTTTAAACCACCGTCATTTATATATTTTACAATATATGTTAGGTATTTATAAACCTGTCATATAAAACTTTGGATTCTACAATTTTTTAAAAATAAAAATTGATAATATAATATGATGGTTAAACAACTTAATTGTCATATATTTGTACACAAAAATTAATTATAACAAATAAAATCTCAGATAAAATTTATAATCTAAAATTTAAAAATAGAGAAAAAAAGTAAATTAAAATAAAATTCAAATAATTTTTTTTAAATATAAAAAATTTTAGTCAAAATTTAGGATCATGACTGATCACATTAAAAAAAATTAACTCTTTAGAATATTAAAAATCAAACAGCAATAGGTGAACGGCTTAGCGCGCGTGCCTCTGTTCCTTCTTCTCTTAATTCAGTGTTGCGCCGCCTGCTCGCTTCTTTTTTTTTCGTAAAAGTCGTGCCTCCCTCTGCTGCGTCTCTAACTCTTTATATATAAAACTTAATAATTTAATAAAATAATAAAACTATACTAAATGACCTCAATTAAAAACTAAAATAAAATATTCAAGATAAATTTAAATAAAATTTAAAAAAAATTGATTCTTAATTTGAGCTTCAAGTATACTCATATTCTTCTTATTCAAAATAATCTCTATTAATATCTTTTAATTTAAATTTAGAGAATCTGTACAAATAAAATAAAATAAAATAGTAACTGTGTAAAATATTAAAGATATTATTTATATTTTTAAATCTAAGATTTAGTTGGTTAAAATTTTAAAATTAAAAATTGGCTAATAAAATTAAATAATATTCGATTAAACTTAATTAGCCTCAAATAAATATTTAAAAATTTAAATTAAAATAATAAAAATGTATAAAATTATTATTTATCAATCTTCTTATGAAAATCAAAGCTTGTTAAGGTCAAATGAGTAGACAATTTTTTTCTTTTTACATGTTTCCCTAAACCCTAGAATCATGATGTCATTGCTACTGTTCACTCCTTTACAATCATCGATTGCCTCTTTGCTCAAATCAAGTGAGTGAACTTTCTTTTTATGCTTCACATTGACAAAGCTTGAAAACACAAGTGAAGCATTGTTTAGATGAGGTTCTATCAAAATCTTCCAATTCAAAGAAATTACCTTTCCAGAGAGGTTGAACAGTGGAAAAACTTGTTCTATATTAAAAGAGTCATCCATTATATACCCCATCAATTCATTTTGTTAGAGACTCTTAAAACCCTTTTCCATTGAACACAAAAGCAGAACTTGAACAGTGAGATTTCAGCGAACGGCAACAAGAAGTGCTCGAAGGAAGGGGAATGGTGAGATTGCAACCAACATTGACCAAAAGAAAGGCGTCCAATGACTACAAGTGAAGCAAGCCCCACAGAGAGAGAGAGAGAGCATGAAGAGAAGCGACAGAAAGGCCAAGTGAATTGACTGGCTGGACCTACTTTTTTCACAACACGTATGTGGTTCTATCTCTATTCATATGTGCACATTAAATAATGGCGGTCGTGGTGGGTCAGACTTATTTGTAGCATACACAGCTGGTGAGGCTGAAATATACACAGCTGGTTCTTCTATTTGATTTTATTTTTTAAGTTCTCGTTAAGTTATTTTGTTTAAAAGAAGGTAATGTTAATTATCTCTTTTTTCAGAAGTTTTTAATGTTATCTTATCTTTAATTATTGGAAGACACACACACACACACTTATACATGGGTATTTACTCTTTTCATTCAACATTCACTCTCCATTGAAGTTTTAACTTTGTTTCCAAATAATTATCATTTCAAAATGTCAATGAAGTGCTTGTTGTTTTTATAGTTTTATATAGAATAAATAATAAATAAAAAGATCTACACGTGTGTCTTGATTTAATTAGATAAAGAAGTTTGTTAATTGAAAGCAATTACCTTGACGATTTGTTAATTGAATACCTTAACTAGCATATAATGCTAATTGTGTGTGTAATCCTAAGTTTTTTTTCAATTATAAAAGGGTAAAAATTAGAAGATAGTAATTAATAGTCTATATTTTTATGTAAAAGTGATTTATAGTACAAGAGATTATTAATTTTTTCAATTTTTCTAGGATATGTAGAGCTGGTTTTATCCATGTTCTTTCCCGGTCTTCCTGCAATACCGGACTGAATATAACTAGGCCAGTTGTTAGCTAATTCAACTGGTTGATTGGCCGACCAATCCGGCTTTCAAAACTCTTAAAAAATCTATTCTTTCATTCTTTGGAACTTAATCGTCATTTCATTTAATGAAGCTGAGGTCAAAGTCGTCGTCTGTGAAATTCTCCTCTTTAGAAGTTTAGCGATCGACCACTCAAACGATGACATTGAGAACAAGGAACTTGGTACTGTGCTTATCACTTAAAAGTCCATGAACGGCAGGACAAAAAACTAATTAATTAGCCAACTGTTCACGACAGTCTTAAAATTGAAAGCCATGCCAATATAATCACTACAAGCCACGTGACACTTCAGAGTATGTGTGAAAAGTCAATTAAGAAATGACTAACGACAATTATGAGAGAGAATGATTATGTATGATGCATGCGAGTTTGTTGCTTTTTATAAGTTATTTTTAACTTATTCATATAGATAATAAAAAATTAGTCAAACTTTTTTGAATTCATCTTTCTAAAAATACTTTTAATCAAGTGTAATAAATTTTAACTTAATTTTACTAATAATCTCTACTTTTCTAGAGAAATTTTCAGATAGATCAAGTGCACCACTTCATTTATTATCTATCCAATTAAAATGCTTCAAGTTATTTAAATAAAATCTTATGTAATATTATTTTAATTAAT